ACTGTAATTCTTCAAGGGTTGGTGCCAGGCCTACAAATGACTGAGGCATTACTTTTACAGTTGTATTTAATTAATAATTAGAAAGTTACATATCTCCTTGTAAAAAAGTGTAAAAGTGAGATAAAAGTCGCCATAATTTCATTTTCTGAATGTGTGCGGTTAATTGCAACCAGCAGAGTGCCAGGTCATCCAGCACTGCACTTGCCTGGACTCTTCTGTTGACTGGTTTGATATATCTTAAAATTAGCAACAGACCACAATTTTAAAAAAAGCCTGGACTGTCAAGTTCATTTAACCAAATTAATTACGGGCAAAGGCAAATTCATTCATCCCAAATTCATGGGGCATATAAATTGTTCATTGACAGGCATATTCAATCATTCAACAAATTAATTATGGGCAAGGACTACTAGTAGTTCATTTAATGAATTAATTATTGGGGGGGGGGGGGGGGGGGGAGGCTAACAATGATGGGTATTTGCAACACTGCAGTATTTAGTTTATGCAGAAGTGCTTCATTTTAAGTTATTTTTCTGTTGCTATGTTAACCACTACTTTCAGTTTAGTTGCTATGACAACCATACCTATGTTTTGTTGTGTTTTTCTCTTTTTATATCCCTGTCCTGCATGCTGATGGCTTACAGTTCAACGATCCATATCATAAGGTTAGTATCTGCATGTGAAAATAATCATACCCCCACCCACATAATAATGAAGAATATTTTTTCATTACCCCACCCACTATGAAAATTAATATACCCCACCCATCCACTAAGAGAAAATTAATAACACTGTTACCAATAAAACACAGATCTCTTAGGTGTAAAAAAACTCAAAACTTACAAATTACAAATATTTATATTTATAAATTTGAAGTAATTTGCAAATTGATAATTTTATAAATTTATATAAAATTAGAAATAAATTAAAAGTAGGCTATGCTGTGCAAAAGTTTAGGAGGGAAAAAAAACAGTAGAGATTAAGTTCAGTTTTAATTGTGGATAAATGCCTTCTTTCTCTTGGTTAAAAAAATTGGCTCCCAGAGGTTGGTTACTGAAGCATGTGTTTTTTGTTAATATGCATGCCGTATGCATTAAATGGGCTGAGGCGCTCTGTTTTTTAATGGCCATCAATAAAAATGTTAATTTTTTATACAATTGTTATGCAGGGTATTATTATTGTGCAATCCAAATGAAACTTTTCCATTTGAATCACCCAGCAAAGAAGGGCCAAACTGAAACACAATACCTAAATTTGAAACAATTTGGCCATGTTTGTTTGAAAAAAGTTAAATGAGGTCCATAAATCATTTTGTTATAAAAATGATGACAATTTTAAAAGGCGGGGTAGGATTATGGGGAGTGGGGATACAGGGAGAGTTTATAGTGCATAAAAGATGGAGAAAAAAAAAGATCCGCCCTAATAAAACTTGAGACAAAACAATACCATTTCAAGAAAATGTCAACTGATTTTTCACTGCGATATTTCTTTCATATGATTTCTAGGCTTTAGCTTTATTGTAGCTCTTTAGGGCAATATAATGAATTCAGTTTGTACATGTATACAGGCAGCTGTTGCCAGGACCACGTGATTAAATTGTAAATAAATGTCAAATTTTACACTTGGGTTGTGTAATCCTTTATTTTGATGGAGTCGATTTTTTTTTCTCCCTTTTTTCCATTAAAAGGTTTGGGATATATTTACGGAGGGTTTTCAAACTAAAAATATTGATTGCTTTGGGTTTTATAATCAATAACTTGCAAAAGGATGGTGTTCTAAACAAACTTGCGGGGGAAAAATCTGCAAAATGATCAATAAGTTTTATATGTCTTTGTTTAACTGTTTTATATATTTATGAAAACACAGTATACTAATGATATGTAAGGTTTTATTTATGAGACACATGTAAGAATTCATTTTCCTAATCAATTAAATGCTATGTTTTCATTTAAAACTGACATACTTGGTTATTATAATGTTATTATTAAATTGGCCTATAATATTCTAAGGAACGTACTCCTGGGCATTCATGTATATGTGTATTCATTTATCAGTATGACATGTTACAGCTCTTTCATTTCTCATAGATTTTGTTTGTGTAGTTCTCCTTTGCTCATAGATTGACCCAGTAAGCTCTCATAGATTTCATTGTTATAGATTGTTTATACAAGGGATTTCTCATAGATTCTTTCATTTTTCAGTGATAATTTTTTGCAGTATGTTCTCATAGATTTTAATCTCATAGATTATTTATACTATTATTCCTCATATATTTCTCATAAATTTTCTAATTTTTCAGTGAAAATTTTGCAATTACTCTCATAGATTTTAATTTCATAGATTATTTACACTTTTATTCCTCATAATTATATTACTTATAGAATAATTCTCTCATTTTTCATTGGTAAATTTTGCAATTACTCTCAGAGATTTTATTTTCTCATAGATTATTTACACTTTCATTCCTCATAATTATATTCCTCATAGATTCATTTTTCATTGATTTTATTTAAAATTTTTTAGCTATCATAGATTTCAGTCTCATAATCTACTATGGACTAACTTATGGACTAACCAGCACTAGTGTCATAATTATGAGAGATCTTAGTCATAACCCCAGTAGCTCTAATAGCCCCAGCAGCTCTCAAACCCATGAATCCTAGGTTGATAGGCATACACCATAACCACTAAGGCCTAAGCCACCAATCTTTATAAATAAGTTAACAGATTATTGTTAACAAATGATCAAAAATAAATTAGTGTACTAAATTTTAAGAAAATAAGACTTAAGATAATGAATGTAGATGAAAACAATATGAAGCAGTTCGGAAATATCAAAATTGTACATAAAATAAAAAAAATATTCACAAGTTTCGTGAAATTTTCAAACATTATTTTTTTCTACCGAGATAAAATCGATTTTCAAATGTATAAAAAGTTTTTGTGACACTAAATGAATGATCTTGTTTGGAAAAATGTAGGCAGATTATCAACTGTTTGTATTTACCCATAGCTAAATATTGATACCATTCATGGGAAATTTCAATGTAAACAATGCCATATGCTACCCCTGCAGTATGTTGCCGAGAGCAGACTGGTTTTGATTTTACCGTCTGCTGTAAACCAGTCAAGCACCTGTTTGTGCTGATTCTTGGATCTTAACCAATCACTGTGCTATATTTAGAACATGGACTTGCCCTGCTTTGAATTTGGAACAGTTTATTTATTATTGAAGGGGATTTTAAGGGGGACCAAGTTGTATACTGTTGGCTTTAAAATTTACTTGATATGGAAATCCCTGAACTTTATGATGAACTGTTCCAGATTCATAGCAGTACATGTCCATATTACAAATTATAGGTGGTTAGGGAAAGATCAGTGTATGCTGAGAGAAACAACTGAGGTTTTTAACGAATTTTGTAAAATGACTTCGTCATAATTTGAAAAATATTATAGTAATCAAACCTTAAGTTGTGACAGTGAACAAAAGATTGATTAAAAAATTCATTGTAAATAGCTTTAATGAGACTGAAAATATTTGTAATGTGTCATTTATGATAACAATAATATCATGGTTTTTCTCACATTTTGTGAACAAAATGACCCCCAGAATAAGGAATTTCCAGGTTATTTTTGATAAAATTGGGAAAATTGATATAAAAAACATCACCTAAAACATTGTTCATTTAAATCATTTTATATTGCACTCAATACAATCATGCACATTTTAAAAATTTGGAATGTAACAATACAAGTTGCTGTGGCAGAGTGCAGTAGGACATAACAAAATGACGATAATTTTGTTTTGTTTACCTTTTGTTGGTTTTTCCCTCAATGAAATTAGGAATTTTCTTGTTAAAATTGGGAAAAAAAACATACTTTTTCGCATGACCCTTTCGTATGACCCAAAATCGGTCACTAATGTGAGCCGCTAAAAAAAAGCCACACACACATACAAAAAAAAACAACCTTGATAATATTACACGAGTAAGAATTCCAAGAGTAAGAATTCCATCAGTCATGGATCGAGAGATGTAAAAACCTTTTCTGGGAACCAGCTGCTCTCCTATATTGAAGGTATAATGTTGTTTCAATGATTTCGAGACCTCAGCTGTCACTGTAACATCGAACAATATGTCTCTTGTTGCTAACAGGAACATTGCACCTGCCGTCTGCTCGTGGAATGACAAGAAACAAATTTTTCAGGAATTTTTTTCTTTCTTTTTCCGGAAATATAAGAAGTCAGTATGAAAAAAAAGGCAGAGCCAGCCAAGAGGTGGCTAGTAAAGTTTTCCTATCTATGAAAAAAATAATAGTCTCTTCATTCAAAAAGGTAAAGATGACCAAAAGCTTTAATTTTTTGGAACCTATACTTTTACTGGTCCTGTCTATAAAAAAAACGTCTCTTCATTCAAAAAAGGTCAAGATGTCCAGTAAGAGATGAACAAAGCAACTGATTCTTTTACTGGGTACAAGATTTCTTGGTTGTCTATTATTAAAGGCTTTTGCTACCATTTTGCTTTACATATTGCTAATATAGGACACTGACTCCAAATGGCACAGGAGTTGGTCAGAGACAGGCCAACCCAAAAAGAGCAGTGGGGGACTGTCAAATATTTGTATCAAACAAAACTTTTCTTCCAAGAATTTTTACATTTTGTTTAAACAGTTAAGATATGTAAGGAAATAAAACTGTGTAAGAAATACGATTTGCCTTATTATGTTGCTAAAAATCTTCACTGTTTGGCGGCTATACTTGGGCATTCTTGTTACCAGCTAGGGAAAAGCTATTGCACAGGCATTGGTTTTTTGCATCTTTTCCACTTTATAAATGAAGCCAAAGTATCTTTTAAAGAAGCATTATTTGCATTATTCTTTAAAGTGTCAAGTGAAATTTTGTATGCTAAAAATTGTAAATTCTGAGCAAAAAAAATGGAACAATTTTGTCACAATTTGTACTTGTAATTATAAGTTTGGTTAGAATCCTGTTAAAAAATGTACGAAAACGTTTGTGCTTCCATAATCAAATCATGATCAAAAAGTCAGTCTATCGTGTAACACCAAATATTGCCACCTTGCTGCTATTTTCTCTTCTTGTCTCCACTTTCCTCTCCTTTTCACTCCATTCACCACCTTTGGAATCATTAGTCTGCCATTTTCTCTCTTAAAGAAGTAATTACTGTTCAATTTCCGTCAACAAAAATGAGACATTAGCACCAGTTAACCAGAATTATTGATCCCGATTTTGGGGTCTATACAATTAGCTGGCATCAAAAGAGACTGTAGATTTTTTTTTTTTTGGGGGGGGGGGGGTCTTTTATAAGCACTTTATATGCTTTATATACTAAGTTATGAAAGCTTCTTTAGTATTTCACCTGCATAATATTTTAATATTTGAAATGGATTTGTCCAACTTATCATATTTTGAATTTTAAAATGTCCGGTTTCAAATTTTTTGGAAAATAGTTTGAACAAATTCAATCGAAGTTAGTCTGCCGACAGTATAGAGCCTAGTCTGTCTGCACGATCATGCAGGCTGGCCTGGCTCCATTCTGGTGGCAAAGGCTAGCAATTACTTCTGGTGCCAGCAAGGCAAAGATTAAATCTTTGTTTCGTTTCTGCATTTTTGTTAATGCAGAAAATTTCAGTTTTGTCAAAGATAAAAATGTAAGCCCAGATACAAAGTTCAATTATGTAAAATGCTTCGCTTTTTGCATTTTGTTAATTTTTAGCCATTTAGATTATTAAGATTAAAAAACTCGGCAAAATTAAGACAATGCAACGTTAGCTTTTTGAATTTTTATAACTGATGGGCATGTGTATATAAAATTTCAGTAGATATCAAATCACTGTTCATGAATAAATAAACATATAAATAAACTTATATAAATAGGTAAAACAGAAAATAATTTAAATGAAAACAAGCAATTGCTATAAAAAAAAAATCATTAATAATTATATTGATATATAGATATATATAATTATAGAATGACAAATCGTTTTGTTCTCGTTATTATGGATATAATTAATTAGCGTAAAGAATTTTATAACATTGTACTAGAGGTCACATTGTGGCAAAATGTCACCCACCTAATAAAAATAAACCGAAAATCTCCGAACAAATAAAAAAATGCAAAAAATAAAAAAAATTGTCCAAATTAAGGGTATTGATGGATTGCGACAGAGTGTGGAGTTGACAGTTGTGGATATTTTTATAGTTAGGTTATTGATTTGTAATTGCGGTGTTTCCACCTAATTATGTCATTGTATATATAGTATAGTTCATTTTGTAGACTAACCTATATATTCTATATATACATACAATAGTCATACTAAATAACTTTGAATTATTTTTCTGCCCTGCATATGACATGAATGCCCTTTTGATTAGGCAATTTAGAGATTTTACTTTTAAGCATGTGTAGTTTTATAGAATTATTTTCATTTTCAATATGATATTATATCTGTATTGGGTTATTATGTCCCTTTCGATCTACACACACCATTTTTATAAAAAAAGAAAGAAATTAGAAAAAAAATTTAAAATTTATTTATTACCTGTTTATCTTATTTTATGTGACAATAATGAAATACATATGTGACAATAATGAAATACAGTCTTGATAAGATCATAGAAAAATATTACATTTTGTTGAGCATATAGAAATATATTATTTCATTTTGTGAAAAATATTTAGTTTTGATGAAAATATAGAAATATATTTCATTGTTATGAGATTTAAGAAATATATTCCATTTTGATGAGAATATAGAAAATATTTTTCATTTTGATGAGAATATGGAAAATATTTTTCATTTTGATGAGAATATACATGGAAACATTATAGGATCTTGTAAACTAGCCTAACATTTATCAAAAATGATTGTTTTAAAGTTTTATTAACAGTAAAATGATTCTGTTTCCATAATTTTATGGTTGATTCTGGAAAGAGCTGTAACACAAGATATCTCTGTTATTTTAACACGCATGAAAAGTGTATGTAAACAAAATAAAATTTCTGGAACAGTTACAGTTTAGCAATGATTTCTTTCCTTGCACTTCTTGCTTTTGAAGCAACAAACTACCATATTTCTTTCATACAAGCATTTTATAAACAAATTTTTTTTTTTTAAATCGAAACAATAATTTTTGGAGCAGAAATGTTTCTTTTAATATAATATTGTACACTTTTAATAGTCTAAGATATTGTGAGTCAGCTTATTTATTCATACTGAAATATTTTTTTCTCCGAGTTTTTTTTACTGTGGTAGATTTCAGTCTCCTATTATTAATAAATTCAGAGAGTTATTTTAAGTTCATTGCGGTACAGTTATGTTGCATTTTCGTGTCAAGTGCATTTCGTTTTTCTTGTTGTCGTTTTCTTGTTGTCGTGATAACGGATTAATTTGTGGTATATTTTTTATAGATGTTCTCACCTCCCGTTAGCGCGGGCATGAAAGGTCCTGTACAACAAGGAGGAGGCAATATGGAAATGTATAACGCATATAAACAAGGTAAGATATTATTACGCGATTTCTTAATTTATGTTTTTGTGTCTCGGTTAATATGGCCAAGGGTATAGTATGCTTATGGTTGTCTGTTACCATCAACTCTTTTGGTATGATCCTTGCAAGGGGCTTGAATCCTTATAGTCATATCACTTTACTTAGGTAATTAGTTATGCTGGGTTAGCCCAAAAAATGATACTGTTTAAAACTTACGACAAAAATAAACTTTTTAAATCGGTTCCTAACCCTTAGAGTGCTGGCGGCAACGTGTGTACAGGTGTGACCAGTGCAGACAGAGATCAGCCGGCAACTTTGGGCCTTCTGAGTCCGTAAATTAGAAATTTTCCCTTGACGGATAAATGGTTTTGTCATGAGTGAAAAAAATGGACAATCTATTTAAGATGCAAAGTGAAGCAAGGGGTATAAGAAGTAACAAATAATAATATAATATTAAAAAGTCATACTCATACTATAAAGTAGTTTTTCAAGTTTAAAAAAAACCCTCAAATATCCAATTTTTCAAATAATAAAGCACCCAGTAAATATTGAAAAATTTGCATGCAAAAAATGCAGCTATTGCAATTGTACTGCAAACTAGGGAACTGTCAAGGCCAATGGTAGTTGCCTTTTTTTAGTAGTTTGTAAAACAACTGCCATATTTTGTCAAATATTTTTAAAACAAATCCGCCACAAGGGGTTTATTCAAGTGCTGAAATCCTGTGTTTTCTCTATTCCAACAAACATCCATATATACAAACAAATTTATCATTTTCAAACCATTGTACTTCCAGCAAATAATTATTAAATTGATGACTTTTTGGAGTCTACCTCATTTCCTTTAATGTAGGTGAAATAACTTGTTGAAATGTTATTAGGAATCTGTCTAATTTTGTTTTCAAACTAGTTACCGTTTTTTCCCCAACTTTTTTTGGGGAAAAAAGGATATGAAATTATGAATTATGAATAATGTTCTGTGAAACTGTCCCATTCCCTAGTCATATACATGTACTTACTTTTAAGTGACCATTTTTTCCCAATTTGTAAAGTAAAATTTAATTTGGGATTATTTTTTGTAGATATTTTATTTCATTTAATTTTGGAAATTAAGGATATAAAACTGTTGATCAAATTGCTGTTTAAAAAATGGAACATAAATCAAAGGTACATAACTCGTGTGTTTTGACTTGTTTAATGAATTTCCTAGTTTGGGTGTTTTGATAAAGTGATTTAATGAATTTCCCAATTTTGGTGTTTTTATCAAGTGGTAAATGAATGTCCCAATTTTTGTGTTTTGATGAAGTGATTTAATGAATTTCCTTATTTTGGTGTTTTAATTGACCGATTTAATAAATCTCCCAATTTTGTGTTTTGATTGACTGGTATAATGAATTTCACAATTTTGGTGTTTTAATCGACTGGTTTAATGAATTTCACAATTTTTGTGTTTTAATCGACTGGTTTAATAAATTACCCAATTTTGTGTTTTGATTGACTGGTTTAATGAATGTCACAATTTAAGAGTTTTAATCGACTGGTTTAATAAATTTCACAATTTTGGTGTTTTTATTGACCCAGTTTCTTGCCCAATTTTGGCACTTTAATTGACCCAGATTCTTTCCCAATTTGGCGAGACAGTTAACTATATATAAGTCTACCTTTCCCAAATAAAGAGGAAAATACTGCTGTTATTGATTAATCCTGTTTAAACAATCTACCAAAAGCTCTCGTGAAGATTATGTCACATTAACATTAAAAATGGTAAAAAAAAAAATTCACAGGCTTTTAAATTTCATTGACGAAAAAAAACAAATTCTATCAAGCATTAAAACTTCTTTAACTTTGAAAATAGACCAATGTTTTTTTTTAAAAAAAGCAAGGGAAAAAACTCAGGTGATTTGATGAAAATTCAATTATAAAGCCGTGTTTATGTTTTAAAATGTAGGATGTCTGGTTATAGTTAACTAGTTCCACACACACGGAGCTTACATCTGCTACGTAAGTTAAATACATTACACATCTGGCCCGGAGAAAATCTTACCAGCCACGCATATGTTATTGATAAAACTTTTGCTAAGCAGTTTTGTTACTAGTAGTTAAATCAGATGTATTATGGGATTATTTTTTTACCTTTCGGTCTCTCTTTAGCTCTCCTACCATTGTTGTTAATATGAAGTAACTCGTTACAATTTTCCATTACAACTGACTTTAATGATCATTATTCAGTAAGTAATTCCGTATGATATTAATTATGATTTTTTTTCTTACTTTTGATAAGGCCAACTTGAAAAAATTAATATTTTACTTACTTTGGGAATGTCCTGATGAAGGTGAAGACTTAGTATTGACCAAAACTTTCTTACTTTGATAAGACAGACTTACAAAAATTGTTAATTTACTTATGTTGTGAATGTCCTGATTGGACTTAAAATATATCTTTAAACCTGTCCCTGGGTCCAAGGTAATAGAAAAATTCCCTGAGTTTAGACTCAGATCTCGTTTATTTGATTGGTCAGAAACTGCCACAAAATGACCACTGACCAATAAAAATCCTGAAATTTGGTACAGAACTTGGAAAAAAGTTGATATGGCCAAATAAAAGTCAAGATAACCAGATGTTGTATATGTTTTTTCATTTTTTTTTTCAAGCTATTTTCTTTTTCAAAAAATATGTGAAAATATTTTGAGTGAAAAGAAAAAAAGAAAATATTTTGTGTGAAAAAAAGAAGAAAAAAAAAAGAAGAAATTTCGCATACTTACTCGATTTTTTTAGGTCAGGGCGCAGAAACAAAAATCTTTTTTGCCTAAAAGTTATACCACTTCACATAATATTTTTTCTTCTGTTTATGTAATAGCATGTTTCCGCTGCGTCTTTTTTTGCCCTGCTGCTTTGTTTTCTTGATAATCGGGGATATTAATTTACCAGAATTTTAATAGTTTTATAATACACTTTGTTTCATCTTTGTTTATCATAAACTTTGCTATATCTCTGTTTTGATGGTTAGCATGTTTAAATTGCTATTCACTTGACTATTAATAATCTATTCCTTAACTTTGAGAATACTCCATCTCTGCTTTTCTGGTATGTTCCAATGTAATTGGTCTCATTTTGGGCCCCTTTTTTACAAGGCCTTTGACTTACTTGTGAATGTCCCTAAAACTTTGTTATGTCCTGAATTAACCTAATAGAAAGCAGTTGCAATTGGTCAACTTGTGTACTTACTTGACCCTTTGACCTTGATATTCTCATACTGCAGGTGATTGCAATTTTTGTGTTATCAAAAGATTGTTTCCATGTGCAACAGGTGCAGTGTTGGATATTGTTTGACCTAACATGACCTTGTTGACCATATGGTTAGTGACTGGAATTTCTCTCTCAAATCCTAGTGTCACAGATGCATGTGCCACCAGTATACACCTACATGTATGTGATATCTTTACTGTTTCACACACAGAGAGTTGATTGGTCACAAAAAGTGGTATCTTTGCTGTTGCTGTAACAGTGTTTCACATAAAGAAAGTTGATTGGTCGAAAAAATTTGAGGTGCTTATGTTTTGCAGAGCATGTCAGCGAGTGAAAAGGCGAGATTTTAGCATTAAATCATTCTTTAGCGCCTTGTCCGGTATATACCGGAATACTGCATTTAACGTGTCGCTCCAACCCAGTTTTTAGTCTCACTCGTAGAAAATCATGTCAACAGATGCCTATCCATATGGCATAGTGTGTAGAAACTATGTCAACATATGCCTATCCATATGGCATAGTGTGTAGAAACTATGTCAACAGATGGAGATTTGGTGCAATCTGTTTATTGTTTATATATATATGCCACAATATGCCACATGAGTTTAGTCTGTTACCATGCTTTTATATTGTCCTTTTTCTATCTGCTGCACATGCTGCAGTTACATAATATTTATAATGTATTTATACCTTTTACAATGTGCAATATGTCACCTGTGGCTGTAATAATGTCAAGATACTGTACCCATTTGGTGTAAAAATATGTGCCATTGTTGCATTAAAAAAAGCCAGTAAGAATGTCAAGATACTGTCCCCATTTGGTGTAAAAATATGTGCCATTGTTGCATTAAGAACGCCAGTAAGAATGTCAAGATATTGCCCTTTTGGTGTGATGTGTAAATCAGTATAGTTTACAATATGGTATTTGATGCATAAATGTCAAGATGTAAATCAACACACAATTTGCCATTTATGCATAAATGCCAAGATATTGCCCTTCTGGTGTAAATCAGTATACAATATGACATTTGTTGCATAAATGTCAAGATATTGCCACTTTAGTTTAGATTAATATACAATATGCCATTTGTTGCATAAATGCCACTTAAATTATATTGCCACTTTGGTGTAATTCAACATACAATATGACATTTGTTACATAAATGTCAAGATATTGCCACTTTAGTTTAGATCAGTATACAATATGCCATTTGTTGCATAAATGTCAAGATAATTATTACCACTTTGGTGTAAATCGACTACAATATGCCATTTGTTGTTTTAATGACAAGATTTTGCCCTTCTGATGTAAATCAGTATACAATATGCCATTTGTTGCATAAATGCCAAGATATTGTCCTTCTGGTGTAAATCAGTATCCAATATGCCATGTGTAGCATAAATGTCAAGAAATTGCCACTTGAATGTATAATAAAGAAGCCTGTAAGAATGTGAAGATATTGTCCTTTTGGTCTTAAACAACATACAGTACAGTTTGCCAATGGATGCATTGTAAATGCTTGTTTTAATGTCAAAGATATTGTCCCTGTGGTAAATCACTTCATAATTAAGTACTTGTTGCATTATAATCTACAGGGCATGTAATACTTCAAGATACTATTCTTTTCTGAGAAAGAGGAATATAAGTACTCAATAAACCCATTGCTGTTCATAAACTTAGGAGAATGTCAAGATACTCCCCTTTCTTAAAAATAACAGAAGTCATATTACAATAATCAATTGCATAATACTGTTATATAAGAGC